TGAAGAATGGATGGTGAAGTTAATGGAGTTGGCGGAGATGGCAAAACTGATACTTTGATTAAAGAAAAGACTTTGACTGGCTTCATTTCTACTTGGAAAATGCTTTTGGACTTTTTGCTTGAAACCAAAAGAAATGACATTTTAATTTTGGGATTTGATGATTGATATTCTTTATGGCTATAGAAATACTATGTATTAGCTTAAACTTTAGAGTAAGAGGTGAATGTATTATATATTTATACCTATACCAAAGAAAGTTGGTAGTTATCCTTTTCTTTTTTTCTTTTCTGCACTTTAAATTTCATTCTTTTTCTGATCTCTTCCTTTTTTCAAACCTTTTTTTCTGTTTCTTTATATTTTATTCTTTGTTGAAACTTAATAAAGTTGTTATTAAAGAAAAAACCACCCAAACTCAATAATCAAAACCTTTTTAGTTTTAGTGAGCTTATTAGAGGCTTCCAATTTCTGCATATGATTTAAAACCTCAGGAAAGTGCATTTTAAATGCTATTTTATATTCCATGTCATGTCATTACAAGTCAGGATCCACGTACTCCAGTTTGCCTTGGTCATTCAACACTAGGCTGAAGCAGGTTGCATTCAGGCAGACATTCAAGAGGTATAGCTTCTCTCATCATTTGATAAAGATGCTCCTGGCAAATTTATATCTGATGAATTTGTACAAGCACAGGGCTTCCCTAAAGGCCACCTACCACACTGATGATGCAATGAAAAGGAAAGTGCTCGTGTGACATATCAGAAAGTATTTTTAATTAATGGGAGAGAAAACTGGGCACTGAAACAAAATACAAAGGTATTTAGTTTACATTCAGAATAATACTTTCAGAATATTAAGAGAAATGGCTGCATTGTAATGAAAGCTGTTTAATTCTAAGTGGATGGACAGAACATGTTACTAAAAGCTCTTTCAGGATAAGATAACACCGTTCTAAGAATTTTGGGGGGAAAATTAGCCAATTGCATTATGTGTAACATTATACACATTTTTTTTTTTTAATGAAGGGTAACAGACAGCCAAATGATGTTCATTGGGAACAGCCACATCTGTTTTCAACTGCATGCTTCATTCATATGCAAATTATGGGCTTGGTAGAACCTCAAGGTGAAGAAAGCGGGATCAGCCCATCCACACCTTAGAGTTTGAGGCTCTGTTTGGGTTTTCCTTTTTCTGATGAAAGCTACTTTCCCTTGGGAAAAATTTGTTTGGGAACAGCAACCCCAAAACGGGTGGGGCACCAGCTCCTCCTTTTCAGCTCCTCTGTTTCTTTTGTGGCGTCTC